CTCCACTCGGTCATGTCCAGGCAGTCGAGGACCTGAAAGGCACGCAGCAGTGACGGGGTGCCCGGCCGGCAGGAGCCCGGACCCGCACAGGGCTGTGCCCAGGCAGCAGCACAGGGCACGGCACCGTCCCGGGCAGCTGCAGCTGCCAGAGGGCTGAGAGGTGGAGGCAGCTCAGCCAGGCAGCGCTCGCCAGCAGGCTCACCTCCACAAGGAAGGCCATGGCGGGAAGCTCCCAGCGGGGCTTCTCCCTGCTCAGCAGCTCCAGCAGGCAGGGGGCAATCCAGGAATTCAAGGGGCTCGAGGCACGGCGCATCTCCCTGGCAGGGGGAAACAGGCACCGTCAGCCCTGAGCTGGGTGGGCAAACCTCTGCCGGGGCTCACTCACACAGGCCTGGTCTTTCCCCTGGAGGGGACACGTGCACTTTGGGCGGCAGCTCCTCCTGTGCCCCCGCCTCTCCCAGCCTTTTCCACTCTGCTCAGCCATCCCTCACTGACAAGGCCCTCTGGCCCATGACCACGGGCACTGTGGGGGTGCCCCGTGCACAGGCAGAAATGACAGGGACAGTGGGGACAAGGGGGTCTCACCTGGCCAGCAGACCCACTGCGTAGTGGTGGGTGTCAGGCCTGAGGAGCGTGTCCCAGCCACGCTTACGTTCCATCGAAACCACCACATCCTCACACTCCAGATGGCAAAGCAGGGCCTTTATGGTCAGCACTGCAAATCTGTGTGGAGAGCGAAGCCTGGGTCACGCTTAGAGCCCTGACCCAGTCCCGAGGGCATGAAAGGGACAGGAGGACTGGGATGGAGCACCTCTTGGAGTCTGTGGGAAGGCCATGTTGCTCCCAGTATCCCTTCCAGAATGCGTCAACCTCCTCTGGCATCTGCTCTGTGCTGGTGAAAACTTGCAAGAGCAGAACCACGAGGAGATGGGGGGAATAGTCTTGCAATTGCTCTGGGCACCGGGACATCTGGAGAATCTCCCAAACCACGATGGTTGCCTGCAAAAGATAAACCACCCAGACCAGCTCTCAGTGCCCAGATGTCCATGTGGCAGGGCCTGAGCATAGGAAGGAGACCCCAGGGAAGATGCAGGGGGAGCCCCTGGCCTGGTGCCCCTGAACCTGGCCCTAACCTACATTCCCAGCCCAGTGCCTGAGGCAGGGAGATGCAGTGTTGGGGAGGAAGGAGACCCACTGGAGAGGTGACCTGGGAAGGAGCCAAAGCCCATTGCAGAAACTCACAGCCAGAGCAAAGACAGG